TACTATATGGCTACATGGAGCCTTTTGGGAAACAGTACTTGACGTCCAATGGCTCGTTCCAGTCTTCCGGCGGCAAAGCAGCAGCAAAAACGGCGAAGCGACATCGTCACGGGAGGAGAAGTATTTGCTTCATCTTTACAACTTGTTACAACTTGAGAAAACTTGTTTTAGGATCGCAGCTTCCCCGTCACTATAGCCATGAATCTTTTCGGGGCGCAAACCATTGGCAGGGTCGAAGGCATGCAGATTGATGACCAATGATTGGTGCGCAAGCATTGCAGGATCTTGTTTGTCTAGGTTGACGTGGTTGTGGCTTGGTTGGATGCAGGTCATAATAGCTGTGATGTCGAGCCTAGCTATGCTTCTTTTAAATCGAAATCCGCATTTCACCCATGCGAAATGTGCAGATGGCTTCATGGCCTTCACAGTCGCTGCAACAAGGTGGTTCTGCAGTTGAGAGAAAAGCACTAGATATTCATGTCTGACGCGCCAAACGGGCTGTTTGAACCAGAGCCGTTTCAACTTCTGGGCTGGTAGCAGGCACCTAAACGCGGAAGCGATCGATCGTAGGACTGGGATTTGATACGGGGACGTGCACGAAACACTGCGCAGTCTCGGACAACGGCCGAAAAATGTGACCAGAAACGCCTGGAGAGCTTGCGATGTAAAGCTGTTTTCACTTTAATCCACTATGAGCGCTGTCCGCGACTCATCATGATTCCTCCGTCGGATGTGATGCGGCGGTGCGCATCTTCGAGCGTTTCACGCTTCCACTTGGACGACATTCGCCAAGCGTACTCTATTAGAGGTAGTTTTAAGAAAATCAAAGGCATGATAAAGTTGCGTCATTTTGCCGAAAAAGATCGAACCGCACGCGCCAAACACCTCCGCTTGTGGAAAGCTGTTTGTGCAGGCCTCTTGAGGTAACTTCTTCGAGGGACTTTGTGAGTCTAACGCAAGGACGTTTCCGTCAAGGCTGTTTTTAAGATCAAAATCGTGCTGCTCCGCACGAAGGTCATGAGCGCAACTAGGTAGAGAGCTGGAGTTTGATGATGGACCCCTTGTAACGTCGTAGAGCACGCTCGGCTGGAGGCGAATCGTCGGGCGACAGTAACCACCGGCGTGAGATAAGAGGAGGACTTGAGCTCCACCCTTGATATTTACTACGATTTCCCGAGCCCAGAACGTGAAGACCAACCTGGAGCAGGAGAAGGGGTGTTCAACAGGCAGGACTTCTGAGGGTACTCCGGTACCAACATCTCCTCCTGATAGCATTGAGGAACCCTTCAAGCTAGTGAACAAGCTCCCAAATCTACCACCTGTAAGAGGTACCACCGGCGGAGTTGGCTCCTTCTATGGCTACTGCTTGGTGGAGGGATTTGCTTCAGGGCGTAATGGAGTTCACCGATTGTGCGCCCGAACCTTCGGCAAAAGATCCTTGCTGATGTATCTCCTTTGGATAGGTTCCAGAGGGGCCAAAGGACCTGAAAGCGGAGGCGATCTGCCCGGGCAACTTCAGTAAAGGGTATGTTGTTTCTCACACTTTGTTGCAACCAACCAGAGGGAGCTGGAGAGAAGCACCATCTACAACAGTTCCTGACAACCCGCGAAGTGGCCACCAGCCTGGATTCTGGGATTACTCTTGCAAGGAAATGGATACGTCTATTTCGTAGAGGCAAGAAGCTTCAAGTAGTCCTTTTCGACTCTCAACTACTTGTGGGCTAGATCGCTTGATCTCCAAGGTCTTGGCAGAGGGCAAGACTCAGTCATCAGCAACGTTCCGTATTGCTTCCTTTGGTTGGAACGTCAACTTGACTAAAAAGCCTACGGAGTCAGAGGCGCTAGACTTTGCGCAGATGATCCTTGGAGAACTTGAGGCGGCAGTGTTAGCTCTTCTCCCGGCCCCAACTTCCAAAGTCGTCGTCTTTAAAGCAACAGACGCGCTTCCAGTCCGTGAGACCCTCCAACGCAAACCTTTGAGGTCCAGACCGCGCTCTCAAAGGACGAGGCCCGGAGGAACATTTATCATGAAGTGTCTTATGACCCTAAAGGCACGACAAGGCGGTTCCCCAAACAAAACAACCAGCTTCCCGCTGCAAGCCAAATGCTCCAACGCGGCATACGTGCTGTCGTTGAGCAAATCCTCATGTCTGATCCACAGTGACTACGTGCTGATGCTTGTTCTCAGCCTTCCAGTACCGCCGGTCCTTTCTGCAGAAAAGATGTACCGCGACTAAGTCGCTCTCTTCCATTTCTCACGCTCCCGACGATTCCCAGGCACCTGAGTCCCATCAACCCCCGCCTTCACCGGGATTCGCTGCCAACAGCCAGTGGGGAGCCCGGAAACAGTCGAGCCAGCCAACAATAGGCCTCATCGGTCCCGTTCTCGGCTCTCAACCGCCCTCTTTTCTTGCTTCCACACGTCCAGTCCCTCCACATGCTCCCGCAACTCCCTACATGGATCTCTGCCTGAGCCCTCCGCCGCTTCACCTCCTCGGCTTCCTTGATCAGCTCCAGCCCCAGTCCACGATCTAGCTCCGGGCATCCGTCATTCATGTAGATGGGCAACAATCCAATCCGCGCATAAAGGACGCCCTTCACCCACCGTCTAAGTAACTCTGCAGCCTATCTCCATGAGATCCACCATGGCCAGGATCGGGGCTACGTTATCCAGAGTCAGGAGTGGTGCCAGAGTCATTCACAAAGAAGTAAGTTTCCCCCACCGCAAGCTTAACCACCCGCTTCAGCAGTCCCTTAACCTCAGTCTCTAACGTTGCCCTTCTTTTAGAAGTTGTGGCTCCGCCATTGAGCAAACACCGACCTTCATCTCCAGAAGCCAGTCGAACCAGTCTCATACTCTTCAGCGCCTTCGTGGCCTCCTGCAAGAACCCGCCTGCGACGCCGAAGATTCACCCGCAGTCCTCGTGTTGGGAGAGGCAGCTGTTCGGGCGCACATGTTATACTTCGTAAGTCAAGGGCGATGCAGTGTTGATGTTCAGAATGATTTGGCTCTATCTGGAGGTGGTGAGTGCTCAGATCATGGGTCTTCCTCATGGAGCACCCGTCGGACCCCCAGACCTTCATGGATGATCCGGATGGCGCACGATGTGGATGGCAAGCGCGACGAAGAGAAGTGGAAGAAGATCCTCGACAAGGAGAAAGTGGCAACTCAGCGGTTGAGGTCTCCTTTATGATCCCCTTGCCAATAAGTCTGCGCCTGAGGTTCTGCAGGGTATCTAGGACATCTTGGTAAAGATCAAGGCCTTGGGCCTTGGGACTCTGTGTCAGGCGGATCCACTCAGACCGAGGCCTATTTACAACACGCCAGATTTGAGGGGTTTTTGCG